AGAAACACAACAAAAAAAGAGAATTTTAGACCAATATCCCTGATGAACATTGATGTGAGAATCCTCAATAAAATACTGGCAAACAGAAACCAGCAGCACATCAAAAAGCTTATCCACCAAGATCAAGGTGGCTTCATCCCTGAGATGCAAGGCTGGTTCAACATACGCAAATCAGTTAAAGTAATCAATCACATAAACAGAACCAACAATAAAAACCACATGATTATCTCAATAGATGCAGAAAAGGCCTTTGACAAAATTCAACAGACCTTCCTGCTAAAAAATCTCAATAAACTAAGTATTGATGGAATGTATCTCAAAATAATAAGAGCTATTTACGACAAACACACAGCCAATATCATACTAAATGGGCAAAAACAGGAAGCATTCCCTTTGAAAACTGGCACAAGACAGGAATGTCCTCTCTCACCGGTCCTATTTAACATAGTGTTGGAAGTTCTGGCCAGGGCAATCAGGCAAGAGAAAGAAATAAAGAGTATTCAATTAGGAAAAGAGGAAGTCAAATTGTCCCTGTTTGCAGATGACATGACTGTATATTTAGAAAACCCCATCGTCTCAGCCCAAAATCTCCTTAAGCTCATAAGCAACTTCAGCAAAGTCTCAGGATACAAAATCAATGTGCAAAAATCACAAGCATTCCTCTACACCGATAACAGACAAACACACAGCCAAATCATGAGTGAACTCCCATTCACAATTGCTTCAAAGAGAATAAAATACCTAAGAATCCAACTTACGAGGGATGTGAAGGACCTCTTCAAGGAGAACTACAAACCACTGCTCAACAAAATAAAAGAGGACACAAACAAATAGAAGAACATTCCATGCTCATGGATAGGAAGAATCAATATCGTGAAAATGGCCATACTGCCCAAGGTAATTTAGAGATTCAATGCCACCCCCATCAAGCTACCAATGACCTTCTTCACAGAATTGGAAAAAACTACTTTAAAGTTAATATGGAACCAAAAAAGAGCCCGCATTGCCAAGACAATCCTAAGCCAAAAGAACAAAGCTGGAGACATCACGCTACATGACTTCAAACTATACTACAAGGTTACAGTAACAAAAACAGCATGGTACTGGTACCAAAACAGATATATAGATCAATGGAACAGAACAGAGGCCTCAGAAATAATACCATACATCTACAACCATCTGATCTTTGACAAATCTGACAAAAACAAGAAATGGGGAAAGGATTCCCTACTTAATAAATGCTGCTGGGAAAACTGGCTAGCCATATGTAGAAAGCTGAAACTGGATCCCTTCCTTACACCTTATACAAAATTTAATTCAAGATGGACTAAAGACTTAAATGTTAGACCTAAAACCATAAAAACCCTAGAAGAAAACCTAGGCAATACCATTCAGGACTTAGGCATGGGCAAGGACTTCATGACTGACACACCAAAAACAATGGCAACAAAAGCCAAAATTGACAAATGGGATCTAATTAAACTAAAGAGCTTCTGCACAGCAAAGGAAACTACCATCAGAGTGAGCAGGCAGCCTACAGAATGGGAGAAAATTTTTGCAATCTACCCATCTGACAAAGGGCTAACATCCAGAATCTATAAATAACTTAAACAAATTCACAAGAAAAAAATCAAACAACCCCATCAAAAAGTGGGCAAAGGATATGAACAGACACTTCTCAAAAGAAGACATTTATGCAGCCGACACATGAAAAAATGCTCATCATCACTCGCCATCAGAGAAATGTAAATCAAAACCACAATGAGATACCATCTCACACCAGTTAGAATGGCGATCATTAAAAAGTCAGGAAACAACAGGTACTGGAGAGGATGTGGAGAAATAGGAACACTTTTACACTGTTGGTGGGACTGTAAACTAGTTCAACCATTGTGGAAGACAGTGTGGCAATTCCTCAAGGATCTAGAACTAGAAATACCATTTGACCCAGCGATCCCATTACTGGATATATACCAAAAGGATTATAAATCATGCTACTATAAAGACACATGCACGCGTATGTTTATTGCGGCACTATTCACAATAACAAAGACTTGGAACCAACCCAAATGTCTGTCAATGATAGACTGGATTAAGAAAATGTGACACATATACACCAAGAAATACTATGCAGCCATAAAAAAGGACAAGTTCATGTCCTTTGTAGGGACATGGATGAAGCTAGAAACCATATTCTGAGTGAACCATCTCAAGGACAGAAAACCAAACACCACATATTCTCACTCATAGTTGGGAATTGAACAATGAGAACACTTGGACACAGGGCGGGGAACATCACACATTGGGGCCTGTCGTGGGGTAGAGCGGCGGGGGAGGGATAGCATTAGGAGAAATACCTAAGGTAAATGACAAGTTAATGGGTACAGCACACCAACATGGCACATCTATACATATGTAACAAACATGTATGTTGTACACATGTACCCTAAAACTTAAAGTTAAAAAAAAGAATAGAATTCCTTGGAGAGAAAGGACCAGATAATATCCTTTTCTAACATTTAATAAAAGTGTAAATAAATTCAAACCTATGGAAAACTTCAAACACACACAGAAGTAATCAGAACACTACAATGAACCACCATGGAGAGATATGGATACTTCACTTTAGCATTATCAAATCCTAGCCAATCTTGTTTCATCTGTAACTCCCTTCTTTACCTCATTCTTTTATCATTTAAGTATATTCCGGACATCAAACAGTTTCATGCATAAATATTTCAATATGTCAGATCAATTTTTAAAACTCTTCCAACTCCAAGATCCCATGTTTCTATAACACCAACACAAGAAAACTGAGAAGTGTACTAACATTCAGAAAGTGAATTATGTGTACCATTTACCCAACCAGTTCTAGATAAACTAAGGGAATTCGTGCCTGAACTGTTTCATTGCCTAGTTTTATGGTGACATCTAGTGGATAAAAACTGCAACAGACGTGGTAAGATCAAAAAGCATCTATTGTCATGGAGTCATATGGTCAAAGTTTACAGGCTCAAAGTCACTGAACATTCTTCCGTAGTTCATATCCTTTCCAGAAAAAAAAAAAAAAAAAAAAAAAAAACCGCAGGGGTATTATAAAAACTTTTAAAAATCTTGTGACATTTGAGGTTTTTCATAACCTGATTTCCTCCTCCCTATCCAACCCCATTTTTGGTTATTCTCCATTAGAAACTATCAATTAGAAAGGTTCCATCACTTATTCCCAAATACACCAAGCTCACTGCAGATTCTAGGCTTTTCATTTGTTTGTTTTTTAAGAAAAAATTATCTTGACCAGGTGCGGTGGCTCATGCCTGTAATCCCAGCACTTTGAGAGGCCAAAGCAGGCAGATCCCTTGAGCTCAGGAATTCGAGACCAGCCTGGCCAACATGGTGAAACCCCATCTCTACTAAAAATATAAAAATTAGCCAGGCATGGTGGCAGGCACGGCAGGCACCTAATCCAGCTACTCGGGAGGCCGAGGCAGGAGAATCAGGAGATTCTCTTGAACTCAGGAGGAGGAGGTTGCAGTAAGCCAGGACTGCACCACTGCACTCCAGCCTGGGCAACAGAGTGAGACTCCATCTCTAAGAAAAACGAATTATCTTGAATTTACCAACTCAAAATGTGTAGTTCAATTCTATCTCTCCCATGAATTCCTCCCCTACTGTTTTCTTAAAATTTTCTGAACTCCCATAGCACAACTTTATTGCAAAACACAGAAAATTTCTCTATATTATTATATAATATAATGAATGGTCTATTAGTTTTGTATTTCTACCTGAAAATATAAACCCATGGAGGGTCCTATTTCACATTTCCTTAGTATCGCTACAATCCATAACAGCATATGCAAATACTGCTGACTGATGAGTTCTATTTATGTATTACACAGGTGAAGTTAAATCATCACTACAGTGGGACTAATAGCTACAAGCACCACGAAAGCAAGGACTGTGTCTGTCTTAAGTCAATGTTCTATTCCTTGTACTTTATGCAGTGCCTGGCTCAATAAATATTTGCTAACAAATAAAAATGATTATTACAAACTGAACAATGACAAGAAAGAGTCAAATAGTTATGGACAAAGAAAAAAATGTTAACAGTATTTCAACATGATAATCTGTGCTTCTAAAGCTTTTCCTATTTATATTAATAGCACAATTAAATTATGACCAAGTATGTTAAGCAGTAATACAGCTTTTATTTTCACATACTCATAATTTTCCACATTTTCTCTCTTCCTCTCATTATTTCTAGGAATACATCTTAAATAAGATGAAGAACAATTACTGAAGCAGAGTTGAAGACTGTATCAACTGGACAAAAGCTCAGGTATACTAAAGTGGGGGCTAAATGGACAGAGTCAAGCAATTGGAATGGATGAATCTACTCACAGTGGTTAATTTTTAAATATTGGGTATATCAAATGAGTCATTAAATAAAAATTACATTTTTCCAAAAACTCTGGATATGTTAAGAATTTACTATATTATTCTTTAACCTACAACTATAGATTCATTTATTGTGATAATCAGATTAAAAAACAATAAGAAAAATGAGACAAAAAGAAATAATAAATGAAATGCCACCTATGTGTACTGAATTTCTTTGCAACAAAGCTAAGAATTATTTCTCTCTGTATACTACAAACTAATAGTAGCTTACCTAGAATGTAATTTCAATATAACTGGGAAAATCCATGTTCTTGACCTAAAGTGCTTTCTAATAAGTTTTGAATTCTAACACTTTGGCACCTTTCTTTAGATAATTTTAGAGTGTCTTACCAAACACAAATAGATGTAAATTTAAAATTTTTAAAAAGCATTATCCCACTATTCCCCACTTTACAAAGCTAAAAAAAAAAAAGAGGTGATTATAAAAAGTGAAGCTGAGTGTGATAACTCTTAATCCCTACCTCATACCCCAGATGTCGTATTTATAGTTTAGGGGATGGGGAAAATATCATAGACATAAAATAAAATGAACAGGTACTTACAGCCTGGGCTTGTTGTTGGAATAATTCGTTCTGATTCTCTTCATCCTCTATTCCATCCCCAGGCATCAGGGAAGGAGGTAACCTAGAACTTCCAATAGCAGCATTCAAATTGTTTGGAAAAACACTTGTCCTTTTGGAAGTCAAGCGTGCTGCTGAAGACTGCACGGCTATAGAGCCTTCTTTTTCTGCCTACACAAAGGAAGAAAGGGGGATAGTAACATTCTACCCCAATCCAGGGCAATCAAATAATGCCTCTAAAGCAGTTCAAGAGATTTTAAATTGGGGTGGGGGGCAGGGGAGAGGCTTTAGCTGGCAGAGGAATGAACATTTACCAGGTACCTCCCATGTGCTAATAATTTAGGTTATCTCATCTAACTCTCACACAGCCCTATGAGAGAAGTATCATATCCTTATTTTATGGATGAAGAAACTACAATCAGTGAAGTTAAGTAATTAGCCGAAAGTCAATAGCTATTAAGTGGCAAAGCCAGAATTCAAACTCAAGTCTGAACCCAAACTTCTGACATTGCTTTTAACTACTTGGTAAAAGTAAAAAATTGAGTCAGAACACAGGAATAAAACATTATTTCTCTACAAAAAAAGTCTATTGTCCTCACTAATCAGATTATATTAGGCATGTAATCAAAGGAAAGTAATTCTGTTACTGCCTAATAGCTTATCTCATAACATACATATTTTCCATTCAATCTTTACTCAGGCTCACTTTTGAACTTACTCTTTCATAAGACTTCTGAAGCTGTTGCTTTTTTCTCAACCTAATTTGTTGATTTACTCGGTATTTAACTTGCTTCTGAAAATGTTTCAAAGCTTCTTGTTTTCTTCTTAGCTGTTCCTTTAGTTCTTTTTCAATCAAATATGCTGATGTCTTTAAAGATGAAAGATAGAAAATGAACTTAAATGTCAGCAGCTTTGTCCATTAGGGCTGTTTTAAAGACAGAACAGTCAGGATAAGGATACAATCCTTATCCTTTATGAAAAAAAATAATTCCATTCTGTACAAAAAAATTGGAATGTATGAGTACTCAAATCAAATCTTAAATTTTTTATTGAACTGGAACTAACGATGTCTCATTAAATCTTAATGAACCAAATAAAACCTACCATATGTTACACATTTTCTAAAATGGAGTAAATAGTCAAGACACACCAGGTTACTTACCACTCACCAAGTATGTCATATTGTAAAATGTCTTCATATTTGGCATTATGCTCCATTTTTAACCTAGCATGCCCTTCCTTTCATCTCCACCTAAAGGCTTACTCAGTTTTCACAACCATTTAATACCCACTCCCCAGTACCTTCCACAACACTTTCTTCCTCTAAGCCCTCTTATGCTATAACACTTCTCATTTCACCAATGTTAACTGAGTATAGTACTTCTTGACTTCCCTACTAGATTATGAACTCTTTGAGGACAGGATATGTATTCAATTCTCCTTTATTTCCCCTATGGCATGTAGTAGACAGCCTTGACTATAAGGGTAATCAATATATATTTATATAATTGCTGAATTTCAAAACATATTCTAAACCAGGGGTGTCCAATCTTTTGGCTTCCCTGGGCCATGTTCAAAGAACTGTCACACAAAATACATTAACACTAACAGTAGCTGATGAGCTAAAACATAAAAATAAACTTTAAAAATCACAAAAAAATGCATAGTGTTTTAAGAAAATTTATTATTTTACGTTGGGTCACATTCAAAGCCATCCTGGGCCACATGTGGCCCATGGCCGCATTTTTGGACAAGTTTGTTCTAAATAATCTGGAACACTTTATCCCACTTGAGTTCTTGATCTGCATTTATCTCCTCTAAGTGCTTTGAATAATAATCATCATAGTCATCATCATAACAGCACTTATCATTATTATGGATCTATTACGTGACAAGTATTTTAACTACATTGTAGCACTCTATTCTCAAAACCACCTTTGGTAGTAGGTATTCTTATCCCTTATGTTACAGATGAGGAAACTGGGGTTCAGGAAGATAAAGTAATTTTAATATAGCTAACTAGTAGCAGAACTAGAAGTTTCTGACTCCAACAATTATGTTCCTACCTACACTGCTTTACTCTAGACTGCATATGTCTCTCTTTCACTAGAAATTTTCAAATTAAATAAAATCATCATCATATCTCCTACCTATTCCTTCTAACTCAGTGATTCCGACTTCTAACTCTGAAGGGTGCCTCTGATCATTTTACAGGCTGTCATTAAATTCTCAAAATCAAATGCATTCAAATTTCAACTTAAGTTAAAATTTCCAAGGTGTCTATCCCATAAACTATTCTAGTGGAGTGTACAACTGTCAAAGAACAATTAGGTAGAATAATTCCAGTGGAGATATATATACATAATGAAGCCTGAACAACTGACTCAGCTTAACTCAAGTCCCAGACAAGTTTAAGCCATTCACCCTCTTTCTTTTACCTCCATTTTCTCTGCTCCTCTTTTACTCCACAAGATTACAAGTCAGGTCATAAAGAAACTTCCACCTGGGTTCTTAGAGTGCTCATTCTGAAGGAAGTCAGCACCATATAAAAATTCATACTACCCTGAGATTACCATGCTGTGAGGAAGCCCAAGTTAGTCAAATAGAGAAGCCCATGCGAAAAGAGAAATGTATCTAGCCAGCACCCAGACATTCTAGTTATCCTAGCCCAAGTGTCAGCTATATGAATAAGAAAGCCATCTTGGACATTACAGCCCAGCAGATGCCACATGACTGGGACAGCTTGATTATTTTCTAGCTCCAACCAATAGCTAGAAAATAGTCAAGGTGACTCAGACATGTCCAGTTATTTGAGCCCCAGCTAAGGCCCCAGACATTATGGAGCAGAGACAAGCCATTACTACTGTACCCTGCTCAAATTCCTGATACATAGTATTATTTGCTTTATACCACTAAGTTCTGGGGTGGCTGGTTACACAGCAAAAGCTAACCAGAACAAATTATAAAACAATGCAATCCCACATATGATGATAGAACAGCAGTGTCTTTTGATGCTAATTTATTAATAATTATTGGGGGGAGGTAGTCTAAAGCTATGACATTTTTAGGAATCCTGATGGCCTCCTGAAATTTTGGGGAGAAAAATGAGTAGAAATTCCTCTTTAGAACAGAAATGATCTAAGGGCCAAGCTTTAGAAGTAACTATTCAGCATTTATTTTGAGCTGAGAGAGCTATATCCGTTAATAAGGGCGGATACCCAGACTAGATATGCTAAAGCTATAAGGAGTTCTATCAGATGCTTGATCAAACCCCCTTTGGCTGGAACTGATCAGAAATTTTTAAATCAGGAAAAGGAGATATGTTTATCCATGTTCCAAGACTTTAATATTTTGAGTTAATGTGTGTGAATATGATATTCAATACTTCTTAACATAGAAAAAGTGTGATACACTACTGATATTATACAGATGTAACTTGAGCAATTAAAAAGGTGTCAACAACTTAAATACCAAAATATCTTTATACCAAATCTTATCGAGACTTGTGGGGTGTTTCTTGCATTCATCCCTTCTCATTCCACCTTTTTTTTTTTCCCAGAGATGGGGTCTCATTCTTTTTCCCAGGCTAGAGTGCAGTAGCATGATCATAGCTCACTGCAGCCTAAAACTCGTGGCTCAAGCACTTCAACCATCCTTTTTCAAGGCTTTTCTTCTCTATTTCTTACCCCTAACAAAGTTTTGATGCTATACTCCATGCTTAAATTGTTATAATTATATTCTAATTTATCCCCAGGATCCAATCACTCCCTATCCTTCAAAACCTTTGAAGCAATTAATCTAATCAAAACACTGGTTGATCATGACATTCACCTGTAAATATTTTAAAAAGTCAATTCCTTCTCCAAAATTTCCTATGGTACTCCACCATCCCTATTTTCCATAATCCTGTCAATAACCATTCTCCTACTAAACTTTCCACTCCAATCGATCTAATCTACCCTTAGAATCCTCAACCTTGCTTACTTTTTACTCTCCTCATTCTCCTTAATAAGAGAATCTTTCCCTTCCCTTCTCCGATCAAATTATTCATTACACTTTCCTGGGTCGCATCAACCCAATGTCATAGCTTCTTGATTAAGCATTATATTCTTAGAACTTGTATAGATATACCACCTAGACTCTTAAAATCCTTTTTGGAAATAGGCAGGGTAGAAATAAATCAATGAATATACATACATATGTGCAAACATAAATAAAATGAATGAATATAGTATATTGCATTGCTTTAACATTTAAACATGTCTCATTTCTCCTCTGAGATCAAGTACACTGAGGGAACATACCTTACCCTTTTTTCATCCATGTTCAGCACCTTGTCTACACATACAGATGACATTTTGTGCCTTTCATAAATATTTCATGAGTGTCTATATTAGGCAGTATTTAAGATAAAAGTGGGAATGTGATGATAAATGAGATTTGTTCTCTATGCTCAAGGAGCTCACACTGCATAAGGAAAAGATATATAAACAATCTACTATAACACAATGTGGTAAGTGCCAAGTTAAATTTGAACAAATAGCTATGGGGCACAGTCTGGTGAAAGACCATCAGAAACCGTGGAATTTCTAGTTAAGACTTTTTCAGATTACCAAAGTTCATCTCTTTCTCCTTTATTCTATTACTCCATTTTGCCTGAATCCTCATTAGAAAATTTATCATAAACCTTAAGCAACCAATTAATGTTACTTAAAGTATGCCAACTATCATCCATACTAAGTTGCAGTGTCTGGAAGATGTAGATAGTGCCTATGTCTTGGGCAGAGCAAGCAATCAAGAGTCTGACGTAAACTGATATACAGATATATATCTATATAACCTGTTCCATGTAGATTATGTTCTATATATTATAGTAGATGAGTAATAAGCATTTGATTATGCCAATTAAAGCTGCAGTCAAGTTTTGGCAAATACTTGTTTGTTCTATAATCCTGATGCAAGAACATAAACTATTTATGGCAGAATAGAAACAGCATCCTCGGACTGTTCATCTTTAAGCACCCAGGATTAGAGAAGACTAATAAAAAGGGTGGTGGGGAACCCCACCATATTTGGATCAAACTGACACTCACATATGCTGGGATTTCCGAACTACCTGGTGAGGCAGGTTCCACCCATGCCCCAACTGGTACTATAGCCTGGTTCCTCTCAGCCAGCACTGCCAACACGTCCTTGCTCTTCAGGGGGTTTAAAGCCAGGGGCAACCTTGTGGTATTTCGAGATTTCTTTGGGGCCATACTTCCCAGCATCTGTGACTCCTGGTTAGGAGAAAGAAAAAGCTTAAAATCTTCAAACGACTGCATTAGAAGTTCAACCTCCTAACACATGAGCCACAGGCCCATGAAAAGGAGAGAAGCCCTGGAGGCAGAAGCCTGGCACGGAGTGGAAACACAAGTATTCTAGAGAAAAAGGAAGAAAAGAAGGGAAGAGAAATGGGCATAAATAGAGGCAAGGAAAGGTTTTTAAGTTGCCTTCTAGATGAAATGGCGATGAGAGGGAAGAGAAAGGATGGGAATGACAGAGCGATGACTGTGCCCCGCTGTGGGCGCAGCGAGGCGGGAAGGGAGGAATGACAGCAGCAGACCGGAGAAAGAGGGAGGGGCGGGGACCTGTGTCTGCAGCCGAGAGTCCCAATAATCGGTATCCGGTTATGGGAAGACGCGCTGAACGGCTGGGAGCCTCGGGCCAGATAAAAGTCTGCTTCTGAGGCCCCGAGGTCCACTCCGGCTGAGATGGCACTGGCCGGGAATCGGCCCGCAATTCGCCACAGACTCAGTCTACTCGGTGTACCAAGGTAACTGCCTCAAGTAAACCGCCACTTTGGGGCGGACTGCTCCGTCCCGCCCCTCCGTAGCCTTATGCCCGCCCCTTCCGGACTCCGCGTCCCCTCCCGGAGCTGGGAAGGCGTGAGAGGTGGGGTTTTGAGCGCCCGTGGTATCGTCACTTCCTCTTCCTGCTCGGCTGAGGGGGCGGGAACGTGTGGGTAAGCGCGGTTGCTAGGTAATGCGCCATCTGAGGCGCGGTGGGAATGTAGTTGCTGGACCAGCGCCGAGACCTCCTAAATCCCTCCGGAAAGGGATGCGTTGGGCCTGTGATCTGGCAGACTGGGCGGGCCAGGGGTCCCAGTAGAGGGAACTACGGGAAAAGAATGAAAGAGGGAGGCGAGCCTGGCCCGGCTTCCTGGAGAAACAAATTAAGCTAACAAATTTTTCGGATCCTCTGTGCAGCTCATTTTACAACGCTGTTTCGTACGTGTGTTATTGTATTTGGACATCACGGCCTCTTGAGTGGTCTCCCTCTCTGCGGCAAGCTCTGCTGTAATCCAGAGACACTCGACTATCTCTGTAGGATAATTTATTCATTCGGTTAACATACATTGCTACGAGCTTTTTATAATACCAGTGCTGTTCCAAGCACCGGAGATACGTAGCTATGAACGAAACAAATATCCCTGCTCAGGGAATTCACAATAGAGTGAGGGGAAATAAGCGAATAAACTATGAGTAAGTAAATGTCTGTGATGTGGAGTAGAAGCAAAGAGGGATTGTGGCGGGCAGGGTGGGAATGGGAAGGATGAAATATTAGAATGTCCAGAGAAAGTTGCACTGCGATACTTTTCAGCAAAGACTTAAATGAGATAATAGAAGAGGCCACTGTGCTCTTCAACGGAGGCTTTATAAACATGTTCCAGATACAACAGCAAGTACAAACGCCCCAAGGTGGGAGCATTGGCTCGTTGAGAAAAACTCAGGAGGATAGTGTGACTGGAGCAGAGGGAAAGGGGAAGAATGCTGAGACAGCAGGTCAAGCAGGCAATCCAATCGAATATCGTCAGCCACCATAGGTGTTGAGATGGAGAGCCACTGGAGCAAGGTTTGGAGCAAAGGAACACCATAATGTGACTTAAAATTAAAAAAAAAAAAATTCCAAATGCTGTAGTGAGAATAGACTGTAAAGACCAATTAGGTGGCTATTGCAATAATTCGGGTAAGGGAATATAATGTGTTGGATCAAGGAGGTGGTAGAGATGATGATAAGTGGTTGAATTCTGTAGTTATTTGGGAGGCAAAACTTTCAGGATCTGTGAAGGTTTGGATATGGATTGTGTGAGGGAGAGATGTCAAGGAAAACTAGGGGCTTCATCCCGAGCAGCTGTCAGGATGAAATTACTATTTACTGAAATAGTGAAGATGGTGGAAGGAGTAGATTTGGAAAGGGGAAGATCATGAGTTCAGTTTGGGGCAGATTAAGTTTTATTTATCTAATCAACATCCAAGAAGATAGTATGAGAAAAAGTGTCGGGAGCTGAGAGAAGAGTTGTGGGCTGCAAATACAAATTTAAGAGTTGTTAGCCTGTAGATTGAAAGCCATGAGACTGGATGGACTCATCAAGGGGTTGAATAGAGACAGATGAAAGAATAAATCCTAAAACAGCCCCAGGGTATTTCAGTATTACAGAAGCTGAGAAAAAGAGGAGGAGAATGCTAAGAGATTGAGAAGGATTAATCAGTAAACCAAGGAAGAAAAGGTAACACAAGGGTGTGATACCTTGAAAGCCAGGTGAAAAAGAAATGTTCCATTGAGGGCAGACCATCTGTGTTAAATCCTGCTGACAGATCAAATAAGGTAAGGACTGAAAATTGACTATTGGATTTGACCATGTGGAAGTCATTGATAACTTTTAAAAGAGCAGTGTCTTTAGAGCAGTTGGAGAGCAAAAGCCTGATGGGCTAGGCAAGAAAGAGTAGGAGAAGGAATTGGAGACAGCAATTTTAGACAATTCTTTCCATGAGTTTTGTTGTGAAGGGACACAGCGAAAGAGGTGGCTGAACATAGAGGTAGGATCATTGGAGAGTTATTTAAGATCATAGCATATATTTTTTATTGATGGAAATTAACCAGTAGACAGGAGAAAACTAATGATGCAGGAGAGATAGGAGAGAATTTGGGGATCTACAGTCATGTGTCACTTAAAGATGGGGATACATTTTGAGAAATGTTAGGTGATTTGTCTTTGTACAAACCTCATAGAGGAAATGGAACCTAGTGAACAAGTGGAGGGATTGGCCTTAGATAGCAGGAGGTATGGTTAATTATAATAATAGCAGAAAAGTTAGAATACCCAGGAAACTGATAATTAGGTAATGTGGTGGTAGGAGCTTATGGAAATTCTCTTCTGATTACTCTGTTTTCTCTATAAAATAGTATTGTAGCCAACCTCCAAGATGGCCCCTAATGATCCCCACCTTTGTGTAGTCCCCTCCCACATTGTACCTAGGTTGGTCTGCATGACCAACAGAATATGGCAGAAGGGGTGGTGTATTACTACAGAGGTTAGGTTATAAGAGACATGCTCACATGCACTTGCTTGCTCTCCCTCTCTCCTTTCCTCCCTCCCTCCCTCTCTCTCAGATCTCTTGCTTTGAGAGAAGCCATGTAAATAATTAGCAGTTCTGTAAAGAGGATCACATGGCAAGAAGCTGAAACATTCTGACAGCAGCCCTGTGAATGAACTTGGAAGTAGACCCTCCAGCCCTAATCAAGTCTTCAGAGACTGTGCTCTCAGCCAACAATTGACTGCAACCTCATAAGAGACCCTGAGCCAGACTGCTCAACCGGAAACTATGTGAGATAATGTTTGTTGTATTAAGATGCTAAATTTGAGGGTCATTTGTTATACAATGAGTAGAAGGTAAGGGACAGTGAAAAGTTGGTAGAGTCAAGAAGTTGTAGGTCCCTGTGGTGGTCTAAGGTTTGTTAGAACAGGATACTCAAAAGAATGTGCTAAGATAAGAGATGGTGGTCTGAGAGTAGGATGTTTGTGGTCTGAGAGTAGGATGCTTGGAGCTGAGTGTATGGAGAGGCTGTGCTTATTGGTGCTGTCAAAGTCTATGGTATGACCAAACGAGGGAAAGCTAAGGTAGGTTAAAGAACAAGATCACTGGAGAAGGGATAGAAACCGAGCACCAGAGCATTGATTGGATGATCCATGAGGATACCGAAATCACCAAAAAATATAACAAGAATGATGTTGGAGAGAGCCAGAAGCAACAATCTTGAAAAGGCTTGGAGGTTGGTGGATAAGTATAACTTGGAAACCCAAGCATGGTATAGTCTGGTGACATGAGATTCAAAGTTGTAGGTAAGGTTAAGAAAAAGGGAGGAGGTGGTTTAGCAGTAGCACTGAGTAACTGCATAGCAAGAAGGAAACCCATCCCACCTCCACCCACAGGGGCAAGGAACAAAAAACAGCTACTATTAGGTGAGTGCAAAAGTAATTATGGTTTTTGCATTGTTGGAATTTGCCATTTTGTGTTGGAATACATGCTTGAATAAATGTGGTTATGTTATACATCAGTTTAATGGGCATTTCTCACTTTTTTTTTTTGCTAATAACTTATTTCTTGCTGTTTATGTTTATTTTAGACTATGGAAATTATGTTAGACAAAAAACAAATGCAAGCAGTTTTCTTATTCGAGTTCAAAATGGGCTGTAAAGCAGCAGAGACAACTTGCAACATTAAGAATGCATTTGGCCCAGGAACTGCTAGCGAACATACAGTGCAGTGGTGGTTCAAGAAGTTTTGCAAAGGATGGCCAGGTGTGGCAGCTCACACCTGCAATCCCAGCACTTTGGGAGGCCAAGGCATCCAGATCACTTGAGGTCAGGAGTTTGAGACCAGCCAGGCCAACATGATGAAACCCCTTCTCTACTAAAAATACAAAAATTAGTTGGGCATGGTGGCACATACCTGTAATCCCAGCTACTCAGGAGGCTGAGGTGGGAAAATCGCTTGAACCTGGGAGGCAGAGGTTGCAGTGAGCAGAGATCATGCCACTGTACTCCAGTGACAGAACAAGACTCTGTCTCAATTTTAAAAGAAAGAAAGAAAGTTTTGCAAAGGAAATGAGAGTCTTGAAGTGATGAGCGTAGTGTCCGGCCATTGGAAGTTGACAATGACCAATTGAGAGCAATCATTGAAGCTGATCCTCTCATAGCTACAGGAGAAGTTACCGAAGAACTCAATGTTGACCATTCTATGGCCACTTGGCATTTGAAGCAAATTGGAAAGGTGAAAAAGCTCGATAAGTGGGTGCCTCATGAGCCAACCGAAAATCAAAAAATTATCATTTTGAAGTGTTGTCTTCTCTTGTTCTACACAACAATGAACCATTTCTCCACTTGGATTGAGACGTGCTATGAAAAGTAGATTTTATACAAAGCTGGCAATGTCCAGCTCAATGGTTGGGCCCAGAAGAAGCTCCACAGCACTTCCCAGAGCACCAAAAACAAGTCATGGTCACCGTTTGGTGGTCTGCGGCCAGTCTGATCCACTGTGGCTTTCTGAATCCTGGTGAAACCATTACATCTGAGAAGTATGCTTAGCAAATCAATGAGGCACTGAAAAGTGCAACACCTGCAGCTGACAGTGGTCAACAGAAAGGACCCAGTTCTTCTCCACAACAACAACAATGCCTGACTACTTGTTGCACAACCAACCCTTCAAAAGTTGAACAAATTGGTCTATGAAGTTTTGCCTCATCCGCCATATTCATCTGACCTGTGGCCAAACCAACTACCACTTCTTCAAGCATCTCAACAACTTTTTGCAGGGAAAACACTTCTACAACCAGCAGGATGCAGAAAATGCTTTTTAAGAGTTCAGCGAATCCCAAAGCACAGCTTCTTACACTACAGGAATAAACGAACTTATTTCCTATTGGCAAAAAGGTGCTGATTGTAATGGTTCTATTTTGATTAATAAAAATGTGTTTGAGCCTAGTTATAATCACTTAAAATTCATGGTCCAAAACCGCAATTACTTTTTTAAAATTATTATTATACTTTAAGTTCTGGGATACACGTGCAGAACATGCAGGTTTGTTACATAGGTATACATGTGCCACAGTGGTTTGCTGCAACCATCAACCCATCATCAGTCTATTTTGTTAATCTTTTCAAAAAACCAGCTCCTGGATTCATGGATTTTTTGAAGGGTTTTTTGTGTCTCTATCCCCTTCAGTTCGGCTCTGATCTTAGTTATTTCTTGTCTTCTGCTATTTGCTCTTGCTTCTCTAGCTCTTTTCATTGTGATGTTAGGGTGTCGATTTTACATCTTTCCCACTTTCTCCTGTGGGCATTTAAGTGCTATAAATTTCCCTCTAAATACTGCTTTAGCTGTGTCCCAGAGATTCTGGTACATTGTGTCTTTGTTCTCATTGGTTTCAAATAACTTATTTCTGTCTTAATTTCATTATTTACCCAGTAGTCATTCAGGAGCAGGTTGTTCAGTTTCCATGTAGTTGTGTGGTTTTGAGTGAATTTCTTAATCCTGAGTTCTAATTTGATTGCACTGTGGTCTGAAAGACTGTTATAATGTCCGTTCTTTTGCATTTGCTGAGGAGTGTTTTACTACCAATTATGTGGTCAATTTTAGAATAAGTGCAATGTGGTGCTAAGAAGAAGGTATATTCTGTTGATTTGGGGTGGAGAGTTCTGTAGATATCTGTTAAGTGTGCTTGATCCAGAGCTGAGTTAAAGTCCTGAATATCCTTGTTAATGTTCTGTCTTATTGATCTAATATTGACAGTGGAGTGTTAAAGTCTCCAACTATTATTGTGTGGGAGTCTAAGTCTCTTTGTAGGTCTCTAAGAACTTGCTTTATGAATCTAGGTGCTCCTGTATTGGGTGCATATATATTTAGGATAGTTAGCTCTTTTTGGTGCATTGATCCCTTTACCATTATGTAATACCCTTGTCTCTTTTGATCTTTGTTGGCTTAAAGTCTGTTTTATCAGAGACTAGGATTGCAACTCCTGCTTTTTTTTGCTTTATCATTTGCTTGGTAAATATTCTCCTGTTCCTTTATTTTGAGCCTATGTGTGTCTTTGCACATGAGATGGGTCTCCTGAGTATAGCACACTGATGGGTCTTGACAGACCCATCCAATTTGCCAGTCTGTGTCTTTCAATTGGGGCATTTAGCCCATTTACATTTAAGGTTAATATTGTTATGTGTGAATTTGATCCTGTCATTATGATGCTAGCTGGTTATTTTGCCCGTTAGTTGATGCAGTTTCTTCATAGTGTTTATGGTCTTTACAATTTGGTATGTTTTTGCAGTGGCTGGTACCAAAACCCCAATTACTTTTGCACCAACCTAATACTTGAGAAGGCAATAGAGAGGTTGAATTGCACACCTCCATACACAGACACATACATGCACACCAACACTTGGGAAGAAGTGTTGTTAGGTATCTCCTTGCTTTCTTCAACTCTCCACCTCAAGGTCTGTGCCTCCCACTAGCAACTGGGCCAGTGGTTTCATAATAATCTACATTCTTCTTTTTTGAGACAGAGTCTTGCTCTGTCACCCAGGCTGGAGTGCAGTGGCACGATCTTGGCTCACTGCAACCTCCACCTTCTGAGTTCAAGTGATTCTCCTGCCTCAGCCTCTCCAGTAGCTGGGATTACAGGCACCCGCCACCATGCCCAGCTAATTTTTGTATTTTTAGTAGAGACGGGGGTTTCACCATGTTGGCCAGGCTGGTCTTGAACTCCTGACCTCAGGTGATCTGCCTACCTCGGCCTCCTAAAGTGCTGGGATTACAACTGTGAGCCACCACACCCAGTCAATAATCTACATTCTTGATATGTCCAGAGAATTCACATCTAAGACCCTGTTCCCCTTCTCTGACCTCTTCAGGAATGCTTATATTCTATATAACCAGAGTTGGTTTCTCATCAAGGAAACTGTTTGCTTAGAAATGTCTATCTTCCTCAGGAACTTAAAAGAATGGATGCTGCTGACACCAAAGTGTTGAGGCCCTGCTCCAGAGCACTCCTCATCAGAGTTAGATATAATCCCTTTTCTGTGTCTAGGGGATCCCTGGACGTGTCTGCACAAAGCCTCGAGTCATTGGGTCCTTGGCAGCGATCCACCCCATACAGAACTGATTGTTTCATGAGCATGAGGGAGCAATTTGCATTTTTGGTCACTACTTTCCTATTTGTTGCTGGCTGACCCACACCTGTAACAAATTAGAAAACTTGGTCACATGTCAGTTCTCAGGGCATAGCCTAAGGAGAACATCTATAGAAGTGAGAAACCTGCCTATCTCTACTCTCAGGGGAACTGGATTTTGGGGAATGAAGCCTCAGGCAGCTGAGTCATGCCCACTTTCAGCCCCTCTCCTGAGTTTCAGCAGGGTGTTCAAGGGCTGATATTCTGGGCTATTTCCTGAAAATGGACCATAGCACTGTCCTTTTTCTTCCTCCTCCTTATTCACCTCTCAAAATAACCTTTTTAACTAGGATAACTAGAGGAGTCCTTCTGCTTGCCTGTGCAGACCAGGTCTCTGCAGTAGCATTTCACTGTAAATGGCACCAATAGCAGATTGCTCCCGTTAAGCCCAGTTTTCTCAACAGCATCTGCTGTATACTTTTTGCAAAAGATTCTCTAATTTTACCACGGATGCAGAAGTCTTTTTCTCCTTACTCTTGGTGTGTGATTAAAAGAAAATTAACCGGGATTTCAGCATCTCTTTATATTGCCAAATATTCATCTAGGATAGTTGAGAGATGCACTATCCAGATCTTCCAAGGAAGGGCTTGTTGGCTGTCTGCTCCCTCTGTGACAGAGCAAGACTCTATCTCAGAAATAAATAAATAAATAAATAAATAAATAAATAAATAAATAAATCCTTCTTTCTATTCCCTGTTGACACTGATGAGCCTCTGAATTACCTCAGTGCTACCCCATCTCTAGTCTTTCTAAATACATGAGCCAATAAAGTTATTTATTATTAATGCCAATTTGCATTAGGTTTTATATGATTTGTAACGTAGACCATAAACGAGCTCTGAGATGAGTCCATTGGTAAATATTGGAGACTAAAAGAGACAAGCAGAATGAATCAGAGCTACCTACAAAAACTGGTTCCTGGAGTGGCCTCAAAACTGAGCCCTCCAATTCCAGATCCAGGTCTTATGTATTCATGCAATATGCCTCTTGTCTGATGGTACTTCACTGGGATATCTATTCTTTGAAGCCAAAGAAGCTTGACTAAGGTAGGAGACTTTTCCTTTTTTTTTTTTTTCTTTTTTTGAGACAAATTCTCTGTCGCCCAGGTTGAAGTGCAGTGATGCAACCTTGGCTCACTGCAACCTCTGCCTCCAAGTTCAAGAGATTCTCCCGCCTCAGCCTCCCGAGTAGCTGGGATTACAGGCGTGTGCCACCACACCCAGCTAATTTTTTGTGTTAAGTAGAGTCAGGGTTTCGCCATGTTGGTCAGGAGAGACTTTTCCTTTGAAGCTAGTTTTAGCCAACATTATTTTATCTATCCTTGTTACTTACATTATTCACTCTGTGCTTGACTTTAAAAAAAAAAAAAATCTCTTGAAGTATAAAAATTCTAATCATTAAAGATACTTTAAAAATAGGTTA